GGAAAATAAAGAACTAATCTAGGAAATAAATAATCTAATCTAGGAAATAAAAATATAACTTCCTATTTTACATATTTGTTCCTAATATGTATTGATTACAATCCTAATATCCTATTATAGATTTATACACTTAATCATGCAATAACTGTAAGATTTTGCATGATTATCTACAATAGGGAAAAAGGAATTATATTCAATGGAAGCGGATTATCCAACGATATGTGTCCAGTATTGATATGGGAGACCATTTAATGGAGGATCCATCTGAGGAAACAGAAAATGATAATAAAACTCGAAAAAGATGGCTCATGGAAGATGATAAGCTCTTCAATCAGATTCAGAACACTCTTGATTCGTCCGTGGATGATGTGATTGGTCACTGTGATACAGTCAAGGAATTATGGGAATATCTAGAGTTCTTGTATATTGGTAAACAAGACTTGTCTCATGCCCATGAATTGTTATTGAAGATCTATCGAGCAAATATGCAAGAGAAGACATTGGTCGAATATTATACAAAGATAAAACAAGCCTTTGAAGAAAAAAGGGCTATGTTTCCTATCCATACTAACGTGAAAATGATGCAAGCACAAGAAGAACAAGTGGTAATGCAATATTTTTTGGTCGGGTTAAGACCGGAATATGAGATAGCTCGTACACAACTTCTTACCGGTGAGACATTTCCCTCCCTTACGGATGTCTTTGCTCGCCTTCTCAGAGTTAGTAAGGGGGAAGATCGAGGAGTGTCTAAGGACAAAGAAACCCTTAAGGATCCTAATGTTGATCATGTAGCCCTAGCTAGCATGAAGTCTAGTGATGGCAAAGGTAACAAAGGGACAAGTCGTGATGCTAGGAACAATCGTGGTAAGGGCCCTTGTACCTGCTTTCATTGTGGTGTTAAGGGTCACGTAAAGAAAAATTGTTGAAAGCTCCATGGCAAGCCCTTGAATATGCAAGACACTCAGAAGTTTGCTCATGTTGTAACTCAAGATGGTCTCTTACCCACCCCATCACAAGTTACTATCTCCGCAGCAGAATATGCTTGTCTCACTCAGAATTCTTGCTCCCAGTCATCCATCCCATCGACTATCACTACTTTAACCCAGTTAGGTAATCCTACAGCCTGTTTGTCCACTTCTAGTAGTAACTGGGTCATTGATTCTGGTGTTACCCACCATATGACAGGCGATACAGGTATTCTCTCCTCATTTACACTTTCTCCCAATTTGTCTTCGGTTACCTTAGCTAACGGGTCTACTGCGCCTATTGGATGTGGTACTGCCCATCTCAACAAATATATGTCTCTTTTCTCTGTCTTGTGTCTTCCTCATTTTCCCTTTAATCTTTTATCAGTTAGTCAAATTACTAATGCATTCAATTGTGGTGTTTACTTCTTTCTTACTCATTGTATATTTTAGGATCTTGGGACGAGGCGGATTATTGGTAGGAGTCGTGTATCAGGTGGCCTGTATATGCTCGATGATGTCTCCACTCCTGTCTCTCAACCTGTTGCGTGTACCAGTGATTCATCTCTACCCATACTACATGGTCGCCTTGGTCATCCTCCCCTTCCCATTTTGAAAAGGTTGTGTCCTAATGTAGGGTCAGTGTCACACCTTGAGTGTGAGACGTGTCAGTTTGAAAAACACCATAGAGTGTCCTATAGCCCTAGGATAAACACGAGAGTCACAACCCTTTTTGATGTTATACACTCTGATGTTTGGGGTCCTTGCCTTGTGTTGTCTAAGTTTGGATATCGATATTTTGTTATTTTTATGGACGATTTTTCACGTGTAACTTGGTGTACTTTATGAAAAATCGTTCTGAACTATTCTCCATATTTTGTACCTTTTATGCTGAAATACAAAATCAATTTACTTCATCTATTAAAATTCTCAGAAGTGATAATGCCAAAGAACACTTTTCTGCTCCTTTCTCTTCCTTTCTGTCTACTAGAGGTATTATTCATCAGTCATCATGTGTTTATATACCTCAGCAAAATGGAGTTGCTGAATGCAAAAATCGTCATTTATTAGAAGTCGCTCGTACTCTCCTTTTTCACATGAAAGTCTCTACAGAATTTTGGGCAGATGCTATCTCTACAGCATGTCACTTGATCAATCGTATCCCTTCTTCTGTTTTGGGTGGTCAAATCCAGTTCTCTATCCTTTTTCCATCACAGCCTTTATTCTCTCTTCCTCCTAAAGTGTTTGGGTGCACGTGCTTTGTTCAAGATGTTAGACCTCATGCATCCAAATTTGAACCTAGGTCCCTCAAGTGCATATTCGTGGGTTATTCCTGATATTAGAAGGGTTATCGTTGTTTTTCTCCTGTCCTAGGTAAGTACCTTATCTCAGCTGATGTTTCTTTTTATATGTTGAGTCCTCCACTTCATTTACTTCTCTTGAAGCACCCCCTGATGATCTTCTTGTTCACCACATTACCCATCATAACCCTCTCCCATCTCGTCCTCCTATCACCCAGGTATACTCTCACAGGGTTCACTAGCACCATGAGACACCTGCAGCAACATCTGATCCACTGCCTCTATCGACTGCATCGCCCTTTGATCCAGTTCCTCCTTCCTATGACCATGATCATGACCTTCCCATTGTTCTTCGTAAAGGTAAGCGTTCTTGTACCTATCCTATCTCCTCATTTGTTTCCTATCACTCTCTGTCTTCATCTTCCAAGATTTTTATTGCCTTTTTAGACTTCGTGTCTGTTCCCAACTCTGTGTCTGAAGCAATTGCTTATGATGGGTGGCGAAGGGCTATGGAAGAAGAGATGTTGGCTCTAGAACATAATGATACTTGGGTTCTAAAGGGGTTGCCTGAAAATAAAAAGGCTATTGGGTGCAAATGGGTTTTCACAGTGAAGGCTAATCCCGATGGGACTATGGCTCGGTTGAAAGCTCGGTTGGTTGCTAAAGGTTATGCCCAGACGTATGGTTTGATTATTCTGAGACATTCTCCCCAATGGCTAAAATGACCTCTGTCCGACTATTCATCTCTCTTGCAGCTTCATATTGTTGGCCTCTTCACCAACTTGATGTAAAAAATGCCTTTTTACATGGTGATCTTCTTGAAGAGGTTTACATGGAGCAACCTCCGGGGTTTGTTGCTCACGGGGAGTAAGGAAAGGTATGCAAACTGAGGAAATCTTTATACGGCTTAAAGCAATCTCAACGGGCGTGGTTTGGGAGGTTTAGTGAAGTGGTGACTCAATCTGGTTTACATAGGAGTGCTTATGATCACTCTGTCTTTTATAAGCAATCTAGTTCTGGCATCATTCTTTTGGTTGTTTATGTTGATGACATTGTAATCACTGGCAGTGATGATGTTGGCATTCAGAGTTTGAAAAACTGTTTGGCTTCCAAATTTCACACAAAAGACTTGGGTACTTTAAGGTATTTTCTCGGAGTTGAGGTTTCTCGGAGTAAGAAAGAGATCTTTCTCTCTCAATGCAAGTATGTGTTAGATGTGTTGACCGAAATGGGTCTAAGTGGGGCTAAGCCTTGTGACACTCCTATGGTTCCTTATGTGAGATTGAATGTTGAGGATGGAGAGATGTTTGGTGATCCAAAAAGGTACAGACGAATAGTTGAAAAGTTAAACTACCTTACAGTAACCTGTCCAGATATTGCTTTTTCAGTGAGTGTGGTGAGTCAGTTTATGTCATCTCCTAGGACATCTCATTTGGATGCAGTCCTCCATATTTTGAAGTATCTAAAAGGAGCCCCTGGACGTGGGATTCTTTACAATGATCATGGTCATAATAAGGTAGAAGGTTTTTTAGATGTTGATTAGGCAGGATCCTCTGTGGATAGACGGTCTGTGACTGGGTTTTGTGTTTTTGTTGGAGGAAATCTTATTTCTTGGAAAAGTAAGAAGCAACCGGTTGTAGCTAGGTCAAGCGCAGAGTCTGAGTATCGGGCTATGGCACAAGTTACTTGTGAGCTCATATGGACAAGACATCTTCTTAGAGAAATTGGGTTTGGTGACCCAAAGACTATGGACTTGTGGTGTGACAACCAAGCAGCCATACATATAGCAAACAATCCAGTCTTTCACGAGAGGACTAAGTATATAGAAGTGGATTGTCACTTTGTACGAGAGAAACTTGAACAAAAGTTAATTGCTACTAATCATGTTATAACAAGGGAACAACTAGCTGACATCTTCACGAAGTCTCTAGTTGGTAAAAGGGTAACCTATATTTGTAACAAGCTGGGCATGATAGATATATATGCTCTAGCTTGAGGGAAAGTGTTGGAAACTATGTATATATATAGTGTAAAGGGTAAAGGGTATATTTGTAATTATTGAGTGTGTGTATATATTTGAGTTAGGTTCTACTGTTGATATAAGTGAAATATAAAGAGTAACAATTATATTAGTTTGATATGATGGCAACATATCAGCTATGCTGCAGATCCCTCTCAACTTTGTAATTATGGCTTTTGTTTTCCTCTTTCTCCCTCTCTTCCCTTCTCTCCCTGTTAATTGTAGTACTTGGTATCTTGCTTGGTTTTGTATACGTTGCCAATTTATTTTGTTTAATCCTCTTCATTTTGCTGATTAAAAAATTCTTTTTCTTTGAATAGAAGGTGATTTGTCATCTTGAATGTTTATTCGATGCTTTCCGAATAGTGACATATTTTTAATAAATACTTCAGCTTCATGTCTGTTTGGATGTGACATGGTAAATGTGAATCATATTAAGAGCTAGGTTCAAGTTGTTAAATGCTAACTCATTTTGGTTTGCGTAAGATATTTATAGTTTTGTTTTTCCAGTGACTTCAGTGAGTAATGTGTAGACAAAAGCTCTTAATAGGTATAAGAAAGTTCACTGAATGGTGCTTATTTCATACGAGTGTCTGGTGCAAAAATGTGGAGAAGCTTTTAGAAGCAACCTCAGCTGTTGTTTCTTTTATTTGGTTACAAACATAATGCCTTTTATTTTTTGTCCTTGATAATCAATTTATTACTGTATTGAAGGTGTGGTGAACCAGCTGCTGAAAGTGTATTCTCTAACTTCTCTGTCTTACTGACCGAACAACCTATTGAGGAACCGGATATTATTGACATTGGAACAATGTTTGGGACGGACAAACATAAGTCATCTACTGGAAACATTGAGGAAGATGAAGATGATGATGATTCAATTGATTGGGATGATCGGCTGTATTTTCCTCTGGAAGAAAAAGAAATTGATATTTCAAAGAATATAAGGGACACAGTGCATTTGGAAATTACTATAAATGCGATTTGTGATCCAAAGTGCAAGGGGATATGCCTCAAATGTGGTACAAATTTGAACACTAGTATATGTAATTGTAGCAAAGAGCAAGTTCAAGAGCAAACTTATGGTCCTCTTGGAAACTTAAGAAAACAAATGGAACGAAAGTGAGGTTGTTGGAGTGTAAAATAAGTCATAAATGCTTTCAAATACATTTGTGGTTCTGTATTTTACCTGTTTTCTTTTAAATTTTTTATTAACATATTATTGTAATAGATATAATATGTTGAAGCTAGATAACATATTATAGAACAATTAACGGAACCCCTTACTCTTAGTTTGTGCTTGAATTCTAGTGAAAAGTTTAAATCATTTAAAATGGATGATATTTGTTGTCTTGCCAAGAGATTTCTATCTCATGATTTCAAAGATTTAGACATGCATTTTTTGAGAGAACAATTGAAACAGGAGATTTAGGACTTGAATATGATTTTGTTGTAGTCAATATAACTGCTAGAGTCGAGCCTACTAGTATTCAAAGAGTTATTCCTTGTTATTAACTCATGAATTTGAAAACAGACTTGAACCATATCTTATTGTACCTACCCATGATGTCTATCAAAACAACTCAGCTTATTTTTCCTATGCCAAATAACAATTTCAATTAGAACCCAAACTTTAACCTTGCAAATTAAAAAAAAAAAAAAAAAAAATTCCCCAGAAATGGGAACCCTAAATGAAGAAACAGAGGCAAGGGTAGAAACCAAGGAAAAAGAAATGGTCCCAATGCAACTCACCAAATGTGTGGAAAAACAAGGCATGTAGCTAGGATGTGTAATCATAGGTATGATAGAAATTTTTCCTAGCAGAGTTTTGGCAAGGTTCAAGGTAATCAAAACTCGGTTTATGGTGTTGCTTATGAACATGGAAATGAATCAAACAAGTATATAGATAATGGCTTTTCTTGCCATATTGCCAGTGATATATCCAATTTGGGTTAGAAGAATAAGTATAATTGATCCATTTCCAACCAATTCAACAAAACAACACACTCCAAAAATCAAGTAAAAATTTGACCAAATTAAAAACATAAACTAAAACACACTTACTTGCAAATCTGGACCAAGACAAGTAGAAATACTTCAAGCCTAAAAGATTACTCCACTAACTTGAATTGATTCACTACCAAATCCCCTTACCAAGACTTGGATAAAGAATGTACACTCAAGAACACAAAAGTTCTCTCAAATAGATAAAACAAATTTCATATATTTCAAAAGCTCATTGTTATAATGAAATAGTTGCCCTTATATTGGCAAATACAAAGATAAACAAGTAATTGACAAATATAATAAAATAAAAATAAAACTTAATTAATATTACAAGTCATTCATTCAAAAAGTAAGGCTATGCCTATTTAATACAAAGAGGCATAATTCTCTAATTCTAGGATCTATGTCTTTAACCACACTATTAGTTGAAATAAGCTTACTTCATTAAATTAAAACTTGATCAATGATCCTAATGAGTTTGGGCCTTAAGAATCATGCAAATAGATCTAATAAGGGTTCATGTGGATCTTCCCCTTTGGAATGAGACTTGGATTGGATTGGACCACTTCAACACTTGGACTTCTTTCTTGGTGGGGTTTGAGCTTCCTTTGTTGAGTTGGGTTTGGAATGGTTTGGGCTGAAATGTTTGGACTCTCTCTCTCCTTAGAACTTGCTTTGGCTGAATTTCCTCCATTGCATTCCACATTCCACAATCCAAGTGTTTTAGGACTTGGAGTGAAACTCTTCAATTCAACTGAATTAGCAAGTGTTTTAGAACTTGTAATTCTTTGTCCACTCATGTTTACAAGTGTTTTAAGACTTGTAAACATATCAATAATGGTTTTGAGAAGGAAACTGTAGGGAGTAGACAAACTTTGAATATCACACACTATGGTAAGATGCTATTACCTACTATTTCAAGATTAAATTACACTTGATATTGTTTTTGTTGTACCTTAAATTACCAAGAACCTTTTAAGTATCTTTTAACTCACATCTAACAAAAAAATTTCTATAGTGTTTCACGGAAAAAACATGTTTAATCAAGGACCNTGAACTTCTTCTATTTTCAACCAATTTCAGGGCAAGTATTCAACATAACACTCAATCAAAGGTCAACCAAACAATATTACCAAGAAACCAACTCAAATAAGAGCAAAAGAAGAAACAATAACTACGTACCTCAAGTGGGGCGTTACACTAATCGATATTGAGGTTTGGTAAACAACATGCTTGAGTGCCCCGAAAACTATGTTTAAGACGAGCAGAAAAGCCGCATAGTCGTAATAACTTTTTTTTTACTCAGTTTTTTCCTATCTTGTTGATTATGGGTGAATCGATGAGTCTTTTTTAATGTTTTTGAATCTTTTTCTTCGCCGTCTAATCGATACTGAGGTTTGGTAAACAACATCCTTGAAAGTCCTGAAAACTGTGTTTAAAACGAGCAAAAAAGCCTCATAGACCTAGTACTTATTTTTACTTAGTTTTTTCCCAGCTTGTAGTGGATCTCGATCATGGGCGAATTGAGGACTCTTTTTGAATCTTTTTCTTTGCCGTCTAATCGATACTAAGGTTTGGTAAACAACATGCTTGAGCGTCTTGAAAATTGTGTTTACAACGAGTAGAAAAGCCGCATTGTCCTAGTACCTTTTTTTACTCAAAGTTTTCCCAACTTGTAGCAGATCTCGATTATGAGTGAATCGAGGAGTCTTTCTGAATTTTTTTCTTCGCCGTCTAATCAATACTAAGGTTAGGTAAACAGCATGCTTGAGCGTCCTGAAAACTGTGTTTAAAACGAGTAGAAAAGCCGTATAGTCCCAATACCTTTTTTTTACTCAATTTTTCCTAGCTTGTAGTGGATCTTGATTATGGGTGAATCGAGGAGTCTTTTTGAATCTTTTGCTTCGCCGTCTAATCGATACTAAGGGTTTGGTAGACAGCATGCTTGAGCATCCCGAAAACTATTTTTTAAACGAGCAGAGAAGTTGCATAGACTTAGTACCTTTTTTTACTCAGTTTTTTCCCAGCTTGTAGTGGATCTCGATTATGGGTGAATCGAGGAGTCTTTTTGAATTTTTTTCTTTGCCATCTAATCGATGTTGAGGTTTGGTAAACAACATGCTTGAGCGTCCCGCAAACTGTATTTAAAACGAGCAGAAAAGCCGCATAGTCCTGATAACTTTTTCTACTTAGTTTTTTCCCAACTTGTAGTAGATCCCGATTATGGCTGAATCAATGAGTCTTTTTGAATCTTTTTCTTTGCCGTCTAATCGATGTTGAGGTTTGGTAAACAACATGCTTAAGTGTCGCAAAAACTGTGTTTAAACTTCAGAAAAGCGCATAGACCCAGAACCTTTTTTTAATAAGTTTTTTCTTAGGTTGTAGTGGATCTCGATTATTGGTGAATTGAGGAGTCTTTTTAATCTTTTTCTTCTCCGTCTAATTGATACGAGGGTTAGGTAAACAACATGCTTGAATGTCCAAAAACTGTGTTTAAACGAGCAAAAAGCTACATAGTCCAGTAACTTTTTTTAATCAGTTTTTTAGCAGCTTGGATTATTTTGGAGCTTACAAAAAGTTTAGGTTTGCTTAATAACCACTCTTTAATAAAGTGAAAGTCATTCGTTGGAAACGCTGAAAAAAAATCTTCAGTTTTTTTTTTTCCCCCCTAAAATTCCAAAAAATCTCCTAAATTATTTTCAATTAAATTTATTATTGTTAGTTATATATATATATATATACACAGTGCCTTCTCGGATTCACATTGCCTTCTCGGCTTCTATTATCTGGATTACTTTACTCTCGCCTTCACAGACATGCCGCACTGAAAACTTATTGGAAGGTATATAAATTTTCTGTACTTTTTCTTCTCCCTGGACGGCCGGGCTGCTTTATGTTTGGTTCAAAGATACGACTGCAACCCACTTATTCTTCTATCACAAAATTTCATTCCATTTCTTAGTTTCCTCTTATATAATATGTAAATATAATGGTGCCATTGAATTCGTTATCAAAGTGGTAGCAAAACAAGCCAAGTCCGGCTAACAGTTTTTAATAAAATTACTTGCACACAATTGTTTTGTATAAATGCTTCACCAAATACTTTTAGAACTATGACATATATTGTCACTTTCTTCTCATCAACCATACTTCTTCCTCTTTATTCAATCGGCTGCTTCAAATTTTACTTACTCACATGTCTGCATGTCCATTAAGATTTTTTTTTTCTGCCTCTGAATATTCTCAATGTGTTGGTGCAGATTTTGTTGCTAGATTTCTATATTGTTTCTTATCTACGACTCTCTCAAAATTAATCGCTTATTCCTTTGCATAATTACCAAAATGTCGCTTATATCCTCCTCTTCTACTGCTGCTTCCTTGTTACATATTAACCAATTCAAGCTTTGTTATCCGATACCCTCAAACACATTCTTCCTCACACCTAAGAAATTTTGTTCCATTTGGTTGTAGTACTAAAACCATTTATATAAGTTTCTGTAACAAACCGCTAATATTTCGAACTCTGTTGCGAGAGCTTCGACATACTCAAAACTCCAGTCTTTCACCGAAGGTGCACAAATCTTTCGAGTGGGAAATCACGATGACATTGAAGATACGGGATCGCCATGGGAAGGGGCTATTATTTATAAAAGAAACCCTTCTATACTCATGTGGAATATTGCACACCTTAGAGAGGCTTGGCTTAGGAAGGCTTTCTACTGAACCTCAAGTCTAGGCTTCAGCAATGGGGTTACGCGTCACAAAATCTGTCAAAGATTATCCTCATGGGACGCCTGTTCAGATCTCGATGATATCACAAGGAAGAAGCAAAAGTTGAGGCTGAGGGAATCTAAAAACTGTCATCACCCTTGGCTGCAATAGGTACATCTTTGCCATTTCTTGTTAGTGATTCTTTTTACATCTTTGCCAATTAATTTCCATTTTTTTTTTCTCGTTTGTTTGTGTATGCTATCATGATTCCACATTATTAAATCTCACTGCTGCTTTTTGCCAATGTTTCCTTTGGTATGGCCTTTAAAATAAATGCTACCCGGTTTGAATAAAAAATCGCTTGAAAAGCTTATAATTGTTTTCAAGTGCCTATTTTTATTTGTTACTCTTCATAATATTTCGTATTTGCCATATTTGATTCTCCACATGAGAGAATGGTGATTACGGAAAAAGTAACACTGTGACTGATTTTAGATTAGAGAGGTAAAGTTGCTGTCTTGTCAAATGTCCCTTGTTGTTGAATGACCTAGCAGCACTC